GAAGTCATTGGGTTGTATACGGACGCGGAATATTTTCTTAAAATTTCAGTCTTCCAACTCCTCTGGTTTCTAAGTTAGCAGCTCACCTGCCAAAAACTTTCAAATGCCCATACAAGAAAACCATGTAGGCAAAGGCGTCCATTTCGGGGATACGGCCCGTACGTGCGTACAGACTAAATTTCTAAAATCTCAGCCTTGTAGCTTTTGTAGATCTCGAGACGAAAAATCGGTATAGACGCACATACAAACAACAGCTCAACAACTTGCGTTTTTGCACTGCATAGATGCAAAAAGCGCATCAAAAAAAACGCTATCAAGCTCACGCATTTGTCCGCTTCTTCACACCATAGTAGTAACTATAAGAACTGAGCGGCAAAAAGCAGGCCAAAATACGATAATACTTCGTACAGTGATAAGATCAAAACAAATAATACCAAGACAGACCTGCTTCGCCAAACTCGTTCACAGCCATTAGAGGGAATCGTATGAGAGACAAGGCTGGCCCCAAAACTTCACGTTTATTGGCTGGGGTTACCTTCAATCCACGTCGTTCACATTCCTGAAAAGAAATTTTTTTTCGAAATGAATCATTTTCCAACAAATTCCCGGTCAGTACAAAAATCCAACCGCTTCGCTCCAGGATTGCGCAGCCTTGAAAATGACCAGCTCACTGGAGGGTTCGAGCTCACTCCGTCGCAGTAGCATCATAAGTGTGTCATGATCGATATCCCGAAATCCTGAACATAATGACTGCTCATTAAAATTCCTTTTTTTCAAATTTAATCGTTCAAAATCAAAAAATATATATATATAACTTAAATCAAGGGTCAAAACACTGTTAGAGATGTGGATGCATCTGGAAGTAGCCCAAGTGGTAGCATATGCCAACAGCAACTGCCCGCTGGCAAACCCGTCGATGATTCACCTCTTAGAGGATAGCTTCAAAGCAAGCCGATGGCTGATTTGAATCTTTGGGTAAGTGTCTATACCAATTTGCCATCGTACCGAGTGAAAAAAATTGCGCAGGAATTGGTTGGCTCGTTGCCAAAACCGAACTGTTCGCCTGGGCAAAAATGCAGCACTACTTGCCATTGTGCCGCGCAAATTTTAGACTCATCAGATCTTCAAACTGTTGGTATTATGTTCTTAGTAATATCGAGATGTTCAAGTCCTACCAGTCCCTTGTTTTTCTAATTTGCATATCTACTACTAACAGTCTCCAACAACATTTGCATGTGCTCTTTCAAAATTTCCCCTAAGCATCGCTTAATGAGGTGCACAGCCAGAGGCTATGGACCGAAACATTTCTTACCTACTACAATAATTCTTTTTATGTTTTTCATCATTTTTTTTTATAATTTTCCTTTAACCTTAAATAGCACAGTGAATAAACATCATGACTCTCGGGTTTCGTTATCAACAGAAACGGAAGTGATTTAAACTCAATTCAAAACTAACAAAGTCAAAGAAAAACGTTAAGTTAAAAACATTAAAATATCCAAGCAGAACTAAATAATTATGTCCCAGATGTTGCGGTACGCAAAAATTTGCAGTATATCTCAGCAGATTTACACGGTGGGCTAGAAGACTTATTAGAACATATGAAAGCCGTGGATATAGCACCAATAGAATAAAAAAAGTATAAAAAAAGCAAAAAACCTAATCATCCCTACTGAAAACACAAGCACACAATGTCCGGCAAAAACGTATTGTGGTCAAACGATGACCCCCTCCCTCCCCCATTCGCCGGTTAAAAATCAAATCGCTACCTCAAAGACGACGATTATTCTTCTAGATCGAGGAAGCCCTCTCGCCCCGTTAATCCGATAAGTCTTTAAAATTATTCATTTGAACAATCTGTACTCGTACGGAGTCCAATCTGAACAATGCTTGCCTGGTGCGCTCAATGCTTCGTCGGTATTTGCATCAATAGTTTCCAAACAACGCCCTACCAGGAAAGATTCATCGAAAAAGCAAGCTTGCGCCAGAAGACACACCGCATTTGCAGATGTGAGACAACTCGTCAGATAGGCAACACAGGCCTTAACCAACATTTTCACATCGTATTTCTTGGCTGAAAAAAACCAAGTTGGAATGCACCAGGTTTACCGATATGATCATGCGTACTTGCACTAAACTCGCAGATCGCTAATAGCAGGAATGATTCCTGCATTTTGGCCTAATAAATGAGTTCATACTGGCCGTGTTTTAATCTCTTCCGGCACGCAAAGGAAAGGGCATCGGTTGGGGTCACATGGACCTCCACCCCTACTCACATCGTATTTTTTGGCTGAAAAAAAACAAAAAACGGATACTTTTAATGCTTCACTTCAGAATTTCTGAAAAGTCCACCCACTGCGGACTTATTTTTAAGTACCGAACATCACAACAAAACGAGCTTTATTTTGAAGAAATAAAACCCAGAAGGAAAGGAATCGCGTTCGAAAGCTACTCAGAAGCAAAATACTGCTGCCATAACACAACACTTGTAAAATAATAGGGAAATCTTTTCATTTCTGATCAATCATTTTCTTATCACAAGGAGGATCTAATCTGATTATAGCATGTTTGTGGCATAAAAGTAATAAGAACGCAGAAAAGAAGGCAAGAACAGAACGAACTATGCGGTGCAAGAGGTAGAAATATTGCTGGTACAGGAAAAATAAGTACGAGAGAGTTAAGACGTTTCGGTCCATGAAGTCATATACGTCTTAGCTCAACACCGAGACTGGACCTCGTCAATATGACAGTCGCAGTGTTCAAAGATGAGAAGAAGAAGAGGGAGTGGAATGGAAGAAGAAAAAAGATGGGAACAGGAAGAATTTTTTTAGAAAATATAAATTTATGGCATTTGAAAAGGATTAGAAGGTTGTAATGTAGACGGGATAATTGCATATCACGCACGAACGCAGGATACCTGGGGCAAGGAAAATAAGGAATTCAAATCTACCGCTCATTATGAGATTATGTTGTGTAACAGCCGTACAAAACGCATACTGTCACGGGTTTGTCTGTGTGTGTGAGAGTGTGTGTCCGCAACTTCCAACTCGGGAACAACAAAAGCTAGGAAGGTGAAAATTTGGAGGAATGTTCCCACCCACTTGCGACCCCGCAAATTTAAATCCAGCCTCCCCCTGCCCGCGGGTAACACGTGCGGCCTCGTAAAGAGTTTTAGTGGGGAAAAATTATTATCTTGGGAACCATAAAAGCCTGGGAGTTGTAATTTTACGTTAATGCCCCACGGCTGCATACAATACCGCAGATTTAAATTCAGCCTTCTCGCACTCCCGAGCATCACTTACGGCGCCGTGAAAGTTTCGGAAGGGAAGTTATCTCGTAAACTGCAAAAGCTAGAAAACTGAAATTTTAGCGCGACCCTGCTCAAATACGGCTCCGTAAATTTTCGACGTCTCTGTGGAAGTTTTTGTAAGAAAGATCATTATCTCGGGAGCCAGAAGAGCTACGAGGCTGAAAATTTCAGGAGGATGTTTTCTGCCTAAGCAGAGACTTCACAGACTCGAATTCAGTTGCTGAGTATGCCAAGCTCCCCTGTACGAACGCATGAAATTTGATTTTTGCCAAAATCACTCGGAAGCCAGAAAAATAGCGGGCTGAAGCTGTGGAAGGATATTCACCCATCAAGTTTTCAAATTCAGCTATCACGTAAAAGTGCGTGAAATTTTTAGTTGGGAGCTCCGCAATTTAGGAAACAAACAACGTTTCAACTATTTTTGCACAGACTAAAGTGCAACGCAGTGAAAATCATTAATAGACAATCGTTCGGTGGGCTGAACTGCACAAAACACAAGACCGCATCGGCTGCTCTTGTGCGTGTCGCTATTTATTCTTTTTACAACACTGCAAAAAAAAAAAATGTCTGAGAAGAATCCTTGGAAAAAAATGTACCGGCATAGAGTGTTTGCATGACAAAATCATCGTCCAGTTCTACCGTGTCCACGTTCAGATCGGAATAAATGAAATTGATGAGGGTTTTGAAAGCGCGCGATGTGACATCTGGCACCTCCACTCGCATTGGTACGCTTTTCGCCTGCGAATCTGCCAAAAGCGAACCTGCAATATTCCTTCTGGAAGACTAAATTATACACAAATATTGCTGGTGACGAGGATGGAGATTAAGCTGCAATCCTTTGGTGGTTCAAATATCCTTCTTGTCACTTGCGGGATCCATTTAGCCAACTGTGTCCATCAGTATTCCCTCCACACTTTATTCGTGCCGTTTAAAAAAAGGAGTACAGAAATATATCGACCAGAATAACCAAACAGCGCAATGACCAGAATAACCAAAACAACCATATAACCCAACTAAACAAACAACGAAAAAAAAACTTTTCGCCTCCAAAAGCTTGCTTAATAAGTCCTATCATGGTCCCACCCTCATTTATTAGGGTTTTACAGCAAAGCGATGGACTGATAAACTGACTTCTGGGTGTGTTCACCCCCCTAAAAAAACATCTGGGATACCCTTGCACGCTTGCAGACTTCATTTAAACGCATCCCATAAATTATCATCAGAACATCGGTTATTTTAAAGAAAACTACATGTCATACATATTAAGTAGCTTTGACCTAAACCATTCTCGGTCATAAATAAAATATCGTGAAACCACAGCTTTCGCGACAGCCGGCTTTGTGCCCTATGGAAATATATCTATGTCAGTAGTGATCCTGTTGGATGAATATGCGTTTTTGCGTTTCGTCAATATGCGTTTTTCACATTGCTTTGCTGCAAAAAACGCATAATAAAACCTAGATATGCGACACTCCATCGAAAATTATTTGAAAATATTTGAAGTGGATCGAAAGGCCTGGCATAGATGCAACTGGCATCCTAGTAACATCACCAACTGGCGACACTTATAGCTCAAGCAGGCCTGGTATTCTTGGTAATTTGTTGATGTAAAAAACACAGAATGCAAAAAGTTAAGCATTTCAAATAAAGCGTTTTTCAGATATGAAGAATTTGATGTTTTTTTTTTTTTCACTCGATATGTTAAATTCGCAAACACTGCAAAATTCGGACTGAAATCAGTGC